GCATGCTCATTATGGAACTCAATCCATCTTACTTGAGGGATCATTTCTGGTGTGGGGGGGGGGGCACTTTGCAATTTTTGTTTCATACCATCGATTCTATAATATTTCTTCTTCTACAGTTCAGGCTCTTTGAGAATGCACTTCACATCTAACTCATCTCGTATCTGCTGGGATGGTTAGAAAATCTTACTAAATTAGGCACTCATAGGTTTTGTTGAACAAATAAATAAGTGACTCACAGACTTGTACTCTCCCCATCATCTCTTCCCTTCCATAATCTGTGGCCTTAAGATTCCAATGGTATTTCATACACATACAGACATTTAAAAAATAATGGCAGCTTTTGGCAGCTTTAGTGTTACAGATCCCACAAACCACCCAATTAACCTATTTGTTATGAGAAATAACCACTTCAATATCTACACATCTCCTATGTGTATGTATACATATCATACAATTTTCATGAAGACTAAATAAGATAGAAGAAGAAAAACCTCTTGGGAAAGCTAAAAAAAGGCACATAAATGAAAAGTCTTTCAGCACCAGCATCATTTCAGCGACCCTCTTAGTTCTCAGTAACGGCTATGTGTAACAATGCTGCTCAGCCACCAGGGGGCTGAGTCACAGTATCCAGCCTTTCTACAAAGAGGATACAGCAGTGAATAAAGCAAAAACTGTCCTCACGGAGGTTATAGTCTTGTGAGGCAAGTGGTCATAAATAAACAAGTAAATATATAGTATGACTGATGGTGAAAAGTGATATGGGAAAAATAAAGCAGGGAAGGGACAGAAATGTGAGGAGGCTGAAATAGATGGTAAGGGAAGGGCTCTCTGATAAGAGGACATTTCACAGAGACAGAAGGAGGTGAGCAGGCCAGCCATGTGGACAGCTAAGTGAGGACATCCAGACAGAAGAAGCAGCGGGTACAAAGGCCCCATGACGCAGTGAGCTTGGAGGGTGGGACGCACAGCAAGGAGGTCAATGAGGCAGGTGAGGAGGGAGAGAGGGAAGGATGGAAGGAGATGAGGTCAGGGGAGGAGGCGATCACATAGGACCTTTCAGACTTTGGGTCTCACTCAGTGAGGAAGCCGGGGGTTCTAAGAAGAACAGAGACATGTACATTATGTTAAGAGGACCATTTTGCCTGCTGTGTCAAGACTAGGCTGTGACAAAGGGCAAGGGTAGAAGCAGAGACTCCTGTTAGGAGGCTGCTGTCATTGTGTGGCTGTCACCCAAGTAAATGTGGATGTGGTAAGAAACAATCCGATTCTTAATATATTTTGAAGATATAGCAGATAGAATTTTCTGATGGACTGGATAAAAGGATAAAAGAAAGAAAGAAGTCAAAGATTTTTGGCTGAGTAGCCAGAGACTGACATTCATTATCAGGATGGAAAAGACTTGGGAAGACTGGGAGGTCTGTTATGGATGTTGTTAAATGCAAGATGCTTATTAGATATCTGAGCAAAGGAGTGGGGTAGGCAGGTAGGCATACAAGTCTGCAGTTTAGAGAAGAGGGCTGAGCTGGTGACACATAGTTGGTGGTGATTAGCAGATACACAGATAATACTGAATGCCATGAGATTAGACATGCTAACTAGGGTCTGAGTATAGCTACAGAAGAGGTCTGAGGATTGATCCGTGGAGCTCTCCAATGTTAAGAAGATGAGAAGGTAAGTGGGAAATCAGCAAATAATTCTGAGAAGGGAAAACAAGTGAAGTAAGGGCAGGACTAAGAAGCAACCGTATTCCAAAAGCCAAGTGATTGCAGCGGTTCAAAGATAAGAGATGACCCAATGCTGCAGGCAGATCAAGCAAAATGGCATGAGAACAGACCACTAGATTCAGTAATATGGAAATCATGGTCTCAACAAGAAATGCTTTGGTGCAGTGGTGAGGAAGAAAGCCTGAGTGGAGTGGATTCAAGAGAGATGGGAAGACAGAATGGGAGATAACAGGCAAAGGCAACTCTTGGGAAGAATTTTGCTGAAATAGAAAAGGAGACAACCTTAAGTTATAACAAATGGGAGAAAGAGCCATTTGTCTAGGTTTGTAATATAAAAGATATTGCTGACATTTTCCTAGATAATATCAACCAAACTAATACAGTGTACACACTCACCTTGGTCTACTTCAGTGTTTCAAAAAGTCACACAGACACTATTCTACTGAGAAAGGGTGAAAGGCTAGATTAGCCCTTTCTTGAAGCTCCAAAAAGAGCTATTCCCTTTTTATTGGTGACCCGCAGAAAACAAGACACCGTTGTTAGCCCTGTGCAGAAGCACAGAGTGACCTTTAAGGCTGCTCACCACTCCAAAACCATCTCAGTGTTACCACCTTTCATGACAAAAATATCTTCCTGAACTGCATGGCAAGTAATATCAGGACCTTACATTTGAGGGGCTTTATCATGTCTTCATGTTCCTGATGAGAGAATTCCAAACAGTGTCACCTGTTCCTGACCACAGCAATACAGTTTCACCATTTTTTAAATGCATGTGGAGACAAGACATCTTCTGTAGGAAGTTTCTCCTATAGTGGAGCCCCAGCTATTCTATCTAACGCTCCATTTTAATGCATTAAAGCATGAGTGGCTCTCAACCATATGCATCTCTAATCAAGAATCTCTGTACTAGAGTAATTACTGTAACTATTTCTGTTAATAACAATCTCCTCAATCCCTCTGTGATAGACTGTAGTATTTGTTCCCAACTGTGCCCATGCTTTTCTATAAATACAGTATATTTCTTTGTCCCATTATCTTTGGGACAAAAATAGCCCTGTGACTTGCTTTGGCTACTGGAACGTGAGCAGCTGTGATATAAGCCATATTTGAGCAAAACAAAATACGCTCATGTGGTTTATCTCTATGCCACTTTTGTGAGCATCTATCTGCCCTCTGCCACAAGAACAACATGGCCTGTGTGCTGGGTGCTTCTTCAAACTGGGCTCTGGAATGAGATGGCATGCAGAACCTGGCCGAGCCCAAAACAGCTGCAGCTGGCCAACATCCTCATGTACCACAACCCAGGTATGTTTCTGGTTTTAAGTCACTGTGAGTTTGGGATTGTTTGCTCTTGCAGTGAAAGCTGACTGATACACTCTTTTATTAGATTGTCCCATTACTCAAATGAAGGAACCATATTTATTCTTTGTGATATGGTCCATACCCAGTGCAATGCTCTGAAATTGGGGGCCCCTAGTAAGCACATACACAACAGGGTAAGGTTCATTATGTCCATTGCAGCTTAGTTAGCTAAAGTTTGAAATCAATTCATGGTTCCTATCACTGAAACATCAGCTGCACCATCACGATAAGCTCCTTAAAGTCCCATTTAAAGCCATTCTCACCCTGCCTTCTCACTCCCAGATTGTGGTCTACTGAGTTATGGCTGATTGACCAAGAAAACTCAAATAATTTAGGCTTCACAAAAGGGCAATTGGGTCTTGGCGATCATATACACTATTTCTATTCCTAGACATCCCAAATGGTTAAGGCCAGATAGAGAGAGAGAGAATCTGCTCTAAATGCATTTGTGTGACTTAGCTCTATGTCCAGTTTAAGACAGGCCATACGCCTTGCCCAGAGGGCCTCACTGCAAAGAAAAGAGTCCAACTCTTGCTTCATTTATCCAGTAAATTCTCCTACCTTGTACGGAGACCATTTAGGCACTGTGCAGGAATCAGAGGCAATATAAGGCACAGTTCTGGGCTTCAGGGGAGAAAGGATGTATGTGCAAAAGTCTAAGACAATCAAGAGTTAACTCTTTACAAGAGGTCTTGTGATATGGTAGGAAAGCATTAGTTTGAAAGTCAGGAGACCTGGCTCTAGTCATGCTCTGCCACTGGTTAAGTTACTTTGACTTTGAGAACATCTTTTCACTCTTTTGTGCATGGAAAAAAAAAAAGGGCTGAACAGTTTAATGTGAGGTCCTTCATATTTCTATGATTTTATGACTCTAAGTGATATCACCAACCAGTATAATGTCAATAAGTGCTCTGTTCCTTGTGTAGGTGGTAAAGGTGGAGTGTTCAGAGGACCTCTTTGTTTTCTTGACCCCTGACTCCCAAACTGGTGTGCTTTCAGCCTGGTCACAGGGATCTCCTCTGACTTAACTCTTGAGCCAGATCTGATGGAGATGACCTGAGAGTGTAGTCTCTGCAAACAAGTCCAGAATTATGCTCAGATACCACAAACCAAACTGTCCAAAAGCTGACTTAGACCCCAGGAGCAACTCTGGCTGGGGTTTCCTGCCGCTGATGCAGGTGCCTGAAGCTGCTGTGTTCAGTGCCCAGGGCTCACCCATGACAGGGAGGCTTCTGGAGGCACCTCGGAAGGGGGTCTGTCCACGTGACTGGTGACCTGAGAAGGAGTGTCTTTCTAACTCCCTCCTGCTTGTGTGAGATTACTGAACTCCCTCAAACCCCTGAGTAAAACCAGTTCTCATTATGACAGGCAGAATCCATAAAGAGGGCTTCTGAGGCCCCTTTTCACAGGAAAGGAGGAAGGGGCTGGAAGAAATGGAAAAATAAGTTTCAGAATATCCACTTGTGCTTTCCTGATTGTTCTTTGGAAAAATACTGAGATTAGAGTTAATTCCATTGGTTAAAATACCCTGTGAGCCTTGGGGATTAGCTGTGTCTGCTCACCTGGCTCTTCTTGCCACAAATGCATTTAAATTCCCAGCCCAGAGCCTTGCAGGCATTGCTCAGATGGCCAGAGGATTGTTTTCTCTGTGTAGGCTGTCTTCATTTGGCTGTGTGAGTGCTCTCTTTTTAATTTTTTTTTCCCCAAGTGTTTACAGGAGCTGGGACCACAGTGTGTTTTAATGGACTCACATCAGAATTAGGTTTTTAAAGCAAAGGAACTCATTTAGGAAAAACCTCCATTTATACGAAATCAGGTATAAATCTCCCCATCTCCTCTGCAAAGTGCTCTTTGCATTTGGGTGAAGGAAAGTGGGGGTGGTGACAATGTAAGAAGAATGGCTCTACTTACTCGGGACTCCAGACACCAGCCGCAAGGGACGCAGCACGCGGAATGCCCTCAGCGCCTTCACATCAAATCCAGCCCCTTTCCCTCCTAGAGCATTTGCCCCATCAGCTTTGGTTGCTTGTTCTAAAATTGCACTAAAAAGCCTGGAAGAAAGGAAGGAGAGAAGGAGCTGTCAAAACAGTGTTTCTTTGGGCTCTGAATTCTCTGAAGGGAGCCTAGAATAGCAGAGATTGTGACTGTCTCCACTCCAGGAGCAAGTTCTGAGGTGTGTGCCCAGGAGAGTCTGTGACCATCAGAAATTGACAGTGTGTCAGTGTGGGTAACACCCTGGCCACAGGCATAATGACTGCCCAGAGAGCTCTGAATGAGGCCACGGTCAGACCATTTGCCATCATAAAGCTGTGAGAACACATCTGGCTTTGTGTGAGCTAAGCAGCCCTCAACAAAGTAAAAAGCAAGTGAAATTTGCTGCCAGGTAACCCTGTCCCTTTGTGGTGCCCTCTGACCCCCTCCATGGTAACCTAGCTCCTGCTCTCATGTGGCCTGGAGCCACATTCTTTCTCCTCCCCATCTCTTTGATTTGTACCTAGGCACAGATAAATGATCCAAAAGAACTCTATTTTGTGCTGGCACATAATAGATGCTCAAAAGAAATATGCATATGTTGAACAAATAAATGACTGATCGAGTGGTTAAATGAGTAAGTTTTCAGTGGAAGTAAATCCATGCATTAGGGTGTGTAACCTGAAACATGGAAACTTCAGCTGTCACACTTGTGTTTCTGCTTATATATCCATTCCTCCAACAAACACAAACACCTACTATGCACCCAGCAATGTTCCAGACACTGAGGCCCCAGCAAAACAGACAGTCCTTAATTTCTTGGAGTTCACACTCTAGTAGAAGAGTCAGAGAATAAACCAAATAATCAGTAAATGAACATCACATTTAGAGAGTGATAAATGCTAAGACAACAAATGCAGCAAGGAAGGGGGATCTGGAGTGGCCAGGGTGGGAGACCTTCCTGTTTGATATCAAAAGGCTGGGGAAGGAAGGAACTGGCTCCTAGGCTGACATTTGAACAGAGACCTGAAGAAAGTGCAGGAGTAGGCACAGAGCTATGTGAGGTGACTGCTCCAGACAGAGGGAGCAGTATGATAGTACGTTACAGGGACAAGAGGTAGGGTGGCTGGAGCAAAACAGTAAGCGGAGAATAGTGGGAGATGCAGTTGGAGAGGAAGTGAGGCCCTATGGTTTTCTCTGAGTTGGAAGGTATTGGGGGAGTTTGAACAGGAAAGTGACATGATTTGACTACAGTTTTAAAAGAATCCCACTGATGCTGTGGGAAGAGTAGCCTGCAGTGGGACAAGGCCAGGAAGGAAGCTGTACTAATCCAGGGCAGGAGGCGTAGACTGGGGGTGGTATTGGAGGTAGTAAGAAATAGTTGGATTCTGGATTTATTTTAAGGTAGATGTGATGGGATTAGTTGATGAACTGGATGTGAAGCGTAAAGAAGTCAGAAGAATAAAAGACCACTACAAGGGTTTTGGCTTGAGCAACTGGAAGAATGAGTTATGGGGGATGCACATCAAGGGTTCTATTTTGAATGTTGTTGTAAAGTTTGAGTTGTTGTCAGCTGGACATCTTGAGTAGACTCTACTGGGTCCGGAGTTCTGGGGAGTGGGGACTCTAGGCTAGAGAAAAACATTTGGTAGTTGTATGGATGACATTAAAGTCAAATCCTACAAGATTGCCCAGGAGGCTGGTGCAGAAAGTGAAGATGTGATAGGACTGAGACCTGGGGCTCCAACACTGAGGGGTCGCAGAGAGGAGAAAGCAGTAAAAGGGACAAGTGGACAGATGGTGGGCTGTGAAGGAGGTGGTTGCAAGAAGGTAGCAACTAACTGTGTCAAGTGCTGCACATACAAGGATGGACACTGACCACTGAATTTAGCAAATGAAGACCACTAAGACCTTGAAAACGGGTTTTGGTGGAATGATGAGGACAAAGCCTAATAGATATGAGTTCAAAAGAGGATAGGAGGAGAAACTGAAGACAGAGAATAGACAGCTCTGTCCAAAAGAAATATAAGGTAAGCCACACATGTGAGCCACATATATAATTTAAATTTTCTAGTAGCCACATTAAAAAAAAGTGAAAAAAAAAAAAAAGAGCCCTGACTCATGGCTCAGTGGATCGAGTGCCAGACTGCAAACCAAAGGGTCATGGATTCAATTCCCAGTCAGGGCCATGCCTGGGATGTGGGCCAGGTCCCCAGTAAGGGGAACTCGAGAGGCATCCACACAGTGATGTTTCTCCCCCTCCCTTTCTCTAAAATTAATAGAATCTTTAAAAAAAAAAAAAGAAATAGGTGAAATTAACTTTGATAATATATTTTATATAACCAAAATATCATTTCTAAATGTAAATAAAGAATTATTTGTCACTGTCCTTTGCTCTAAATCTTTGAAATCTGCATATTTTGCATGTATAACATATCTCAGTTCAGATTAGCCATATTTCAGGTGCTGAAGGGCCACCTGTGGCTGGTGGCTACTGTATAGACAACTCCTTTGAGGAATTTTGCTTTAAAACAGAGCAGAGGAAAAATGGTGGCTACCAGAGGGGATATGGATTCAAGAGTTTTGTTAATTAATTAATTAATTAAATCCTTGTCTGGGAGTATTTTTATTGATTTTAGAGAGAGAGGTGGGGAGAGGAGAGAGATAAACTTCAATCGGTCACCTCCCATGTACGCACACCAACCGGAGATCGAAACGGAAATTTATGTAAGTGCCCTGACCAAGGATCAAACCCACAACCATTGGTACATGGGATGACACTCCAACCAACTGAGCCACCTGGCTAGGGCTTGTTTGTTTTTAAATGGAGATATATCAGCATTTTTGTGTACGATGGGACTCATCTAACAGAGACAGACAATTTTATCATATAGACTCAAAAGAGAACAATTATTGAAAGGGCTGACATCCTTTAGTAGTCAGGATGGGGACCTAATGCACATTCAGGGATGCTGGCCTTATGTAGAGGCAGGGAGGTCTATTATGATTCAGGTAGGGAGGCACATTATAGGGGCACAGATGTGGTTGTGGGAACACATGGAAATTTTCTTCTGATTACATCTGTTATCCCAGGAAAATAGGGAGCAAGGTCATCATCAGCTGAAAATGTGAATGGGGAGGAGGTATTGGAATTATGAAGAGAAAGCAAGGGTAAAGAAAGTAGAAAAGCAAACTGGTAGGAACATGTAGCAGGATTGCCAGGAGTCATGAGGAGCCTATTTGGAGGTTGGTGGTCATGAGTGTAAAGTGAGACCCATCACCTCAACTTTGCATATTTCTCTACCCCTTTCGATGGCACAGCTTCAGGTACCAAACAGATCTCCATCTAGTCAGATTTTATTAGGACTGATGAGCAAGATAAATGAAGGGAGGAATAGAAGGTGATTGTAATAAATGCAGGTGAAAGCTTACAGTGATGGGACATGGCATCTGAGCTGGCTGGAAGGAGGCATGCACATGATGGCAGGGACAAAAGGAACGTGGCAGGATGAATGGATTGTTGGAGTTAATTGCTAGAGAGAGTAAACTGGAAAAATGAGTGGTACAGCTTAGAGGGTAGGATTTGGTTTGGGTTTCTAGGGAGAGTATAGTTATTAGGCACTGCAGGGATACTGGCTATGACCATGGGAGTGGGCAGTTGAGATAGAATGGATCCCCAGGGAAGAAGCTATTGAAGAACCAAGAAGACATTTGTATGGCAGTGGCAGGAGTAGTAAGCGTTGGAGAAAGTGGGGGTGAGCCAAGAGCTCATACCTTCAAGGAACAGGGAGTAACTCAAAGGTCTATGGAAAGCTACAATAAGGAGAAGCAGGACGTAGAAGTGTCTAATGACACAAATATCAAAATTGGAGGTTTTTAGTGGGAGGAAGAGTGGTCTGAAAGCAGAAATAAGGAGAAAGCAGGGCTCTTTTCCTGACCTCTGGGCTGTGGAATGGGGCATCTGAGAGAGAGACTGGCTACCTCTAGAGGGAAGGAGGACCCTCAAGGTAGAGCCAGAGAGTGAGCAGAGTGATCAGAATGAACTAGCTTTGTAAATAAAGTTTGCCTGGAATTCAGCTACACCCATCCTTTACATAATCGCTGTTATCTCCCTACAGAGTTGGGACACAAACCGCATGGTTCACAAAGCTGAAAGTTGTACCTGGCCCTTTATAGAATGTGTCTGCAGCCCCTGAATGGGAGGTGGACTGTAGGGAACAGAGGCCACAGAGGGAAAGGTTCAGAACTGGGTGGAGAGGGAAAAGGGTTTAGACCAGAGGATGCACAGACCATGTGGGATGGGAGTCCCACCACTCTTAGACTCTTTGCAGTAACTAAGAAAAATGGGGAAAAGGGTACCCAGGGAATTTCTGTCCTTTGCACCCTGAGATGACTATATTGATTCACTGTCAGTAGAGTGGGTGCTGGGTCATGGCCTGAGGTCAAGAAGGAAGTCCAGGTATCAGAACTGGGTCCCCTTATTAGACCTGAACTTGGGACCAGAGCAACTTCTTTTTGAGGACTAGGCTCAAGCCTTAAACAACTCATGCCCCAGGGCACCATCTGGAAACTGGGAGGCTGCAGGTGTAGGCTTAACTGTTCAGGAGCTCAGCTCCAGGCAGGACCCAGCAATGATGAAGTTGGACCAAATAGAGGATTTTCAAACTGTGCTCCATGGAACCTGTTAGGGACTTCATGGGCTGCGAGGCAGACATGAGTGACTGGGGTTCTGGCTCCTTTCCCCATATTTAACAGAGCAGGCCCCCTTTGATCTGTTTTATGCATCAGGCCTCTGAGTAAGGCTTGGTTTTAACAATGGGTTCTGCAGCTAAAGGAGTTTGATAACCCTGGTCAGACCACATCTAAAGTCTCTGCTCCCTGATTCTCTCAGCTCAGCTTGGTAATCTGATGGTTTCACATGTTGGTTGGTGATACCTGGAATCCCAGGCAAGGTTACCAGGACAGGGGAATGGGCTCCTTTCTCCACAGAGAAATATTCTTTCCACTCAAGTCTAGATCTCTGAAATGGAGATCAGTTTGTAAATTGGTCAAATAACATTCCAAATCCAAACCAGATCTGGTTACTGATATTTCCTGGAAGAAAGCAATATGCTTACTGGAGTGCAAGATGTTCACAAAATGTTATTCAGTAAAGGGAGTAGAGATTGGACAACTTTCCTCTCTTTTAACCCCTGCCCCAACTTGATGCAGGCTCTTATTAAGTGTCTGTGTTTAATTTTGAAGGGGTAGAAAATGCAGGAATCAGTCTAGGGGATGCTTGTCTTGGTCTGCAGGAACTGATGCTCTCCTCAATTAGACACTATAGAGGTAAAAACACTGCTTTGTTCCTACCTGTCCCTAAGGGCCAGGTTCAGATGTGGATATTTGGGGAGGGATTTCTACAGGAGGTGTGTCTGGCAATTCCTTAGCTAAACAGGAGAGCTTTTAAAAGAACAAAACAATGAGGCTCTAGAGGGCCCAGTGAGTCAGAGCCAACATATTAGGAGGGTGACAAAGACGTAGCAAAGGCCTTGGTGGCTACAGCAGAATCTCATGGGCAGGTGGACCTACCAAAGGTTCCTCAGTTCTTGGGGTAGTGTCGGGGGATGTAATTCACAGAGGGCTCAGAAGTCCTCCCCACTTTCGCTCAGCAGTACTGTCTCCCCTCATACCAAGGAGAAAACTCCACTATAGGAAGGAAATGTGTGGGGAGAAGGAAACACCTCTTGTCAAAGGCCACCAGAATGGCAATTCAGAGATGACAGTGGGCTCTCAACCTGACACTCAGGCAGCAGACAGGTGCACCTATCTCTATGGGGATATGGTAGGCTCCCCTGATATGTAGGAGGTCAGAAGAGCCCTTTCTTAAATAGCTGTGGGGGTGCCAAGGAGAGCAGATGTTTTCGAGGAGATGCAAGGGAAACAGGGATGTCCATTTAATATTGCAAAGGCAGCAGGAAAGGAGGCATGGCTGTAGACAGATGACTGAGCTATACCTTCTGTGGGGGGATAGGCGCCATTTTTTTAATTAGTAGGATGGGCTGAGATTTAGACTGAATGGAAAGCCCCCAGGACCAACACCCACAGAGAGGAAAAAGTAGGTGCCAAGCAATAATTCCACTATTACCAAGTGTGGGATTAGTGGGAAGAACCCAAAAAGTCTTGGTGACCAAAAAGTGAGCAAGTGCTGGCATCATAACCTAAGTGGCTTCAATAGTCAACAAGGGACATCTTTTAGAAGAATGCCAACCCTGAATGCCTCCCTCTCTTCATCAGTCTCATGCCCTAGACTCCAGAAAGATGTGACCAGAATCTGGTTGTGGGGAGGACCAGCAGCCCAAGGGATGCAGCAAAGTCTAACCAAGCTGGAGGCTAGCAGGGTTGTCCAGTGTACAGCACATGATCAGGAACCTGCCCCCTCCTGCCCTGGGCTCCTGTTGGATGCCTGCCCAGTAGCACCTGTCCTCATCTCCTGTGCTGCAGTTAAGTCCGTGCATGGGGCAAAGCAGTGGGTCTGGTCAACTCCGACTCATTCATAAACATGAGAAGATGTAGCATCTCTGCCAATACAAAATTCGTCCCTGCAAGATACCCCATCTCTCTATGGCTCCCAGAAGCATCAGACCTCAAGCCTGGATCTCTTTTCCATGTATGTGTGAAAGGTTCCCAGGAGACTGAGGCCTTGAGAAAGATGCTGGATTAAAAAGGATTTAGGGGCATTTGGAACATCACTGAGTCAAGGCATTTGATGAGTCACTCTTTGTTTATTCTGGCATGAACAGAAGCAACCAAATCTCTCATGTAGCTGCCTCTTCACTCCAAGTCCTCTAGAGACAGATACGTACCTGACAAATACTCTCATTTTAGTATTCCTCAAGCCACCCACATATCCCTGATGTTAATGAGGCCAAAGTGTGTCACTCAGTGGTCAGACAAAAAAGGGCAACAAAGAAAAATCCCTAAAACAGTTCCAAACAACCCTAACAAGCCATCCAGATGGCCAGAGACAAGGACATGATATCTAAACAACCTCGATTTGCTCCTGTCTTATTTCCTGTGGGACAGACCAGACATTCCCATGAGATCCCAAGCAATGAGTGCTCTGGAGAAGACCCATGGGCCTTGGTCTTCACTGAGACAGCACAAAAACATTCATGAAAATAGTTTCTTAGGATAAGAGCCAAATGATATATTGACCTTGGCAATGAAGCCTGTTGGGTCTCCAGGGCAGTGAAAATGCAAGGTGACCACAACTGGACCACTCTCTGGGCTCAAAGTAACAACAGATAGCTCAAAGAAGCCAGCGTGTTCTTGAAGTGAAATCTTACTGCAAAGGTACCCTCCCTTTATAAAACAGATGGTCACTGGAACGTAATCCACTGGGTGCTAACCAATTACATCTCACACAGCAGACGTAGGCTGGTTGGTACAAATATTCCTAGAGACTCTATGAAGTTACTAATTCCTTGATAAGAAGATCACTTCTGAATTTTATTTAAGATTTCTTACATTGCTTTTTTTTTTCTCATCTGATACTAAAATGCAGCAGAGTGTCATGGGGAAGCTGTGTTTGATTTGGGTTTGGTCACTCATTGCCTTGGTTCTTCACAGTTCCCTGTGTTCTCCTCTCTGATCTGTCTTGTGCAGCCTGGTTTCCTTGGCCACAAGACATGGACCACTGCAGAGGTGAGAAAGGGCATCCACAGCTCTTGTGTGTCAGCCCCAACCATACCCATGGACTGCATGCTCACAGACAAGCTGAACTGAATCTGCTCAGTGAGATTGCAGGGAAGCTGGTCAGAGGAGCTCTCAGGCCAGACATTGTCAGAGATGGACTAAAATACTTTACACAGAGGACTTTCCTCAGTTGCGTGAAAGACGCTGGGTTCCACCGAAAGCACTCAGATTCAACTCGTGTGTGTGTGTGTGTGCACATGTGTGAATGTATGTGAGTACAATGTGCATGTGAGAACAGGGGTAAGGAGGTTCCTAGGAAATAGCTCCTCTCTCTTGGAGAAAGTCTGAATTTGAAGAGATATTTAACAGATCCTCTCATCCTGCCTGAAGCCCAGTGCCACTGTGACCAAATCAAATATGCATATATGTATAGCTCTGGACAGAGACAATGATGTGCTGAAGGAAGGGTGCTGAGTAGAGAGGGCAGAGGCAGGGGGAATGAGGACATCTGTAATAGTGTCAACAATAAAAATATTTTAAAATAAAATTTAAAAAAAGGAGATATAAATACAGAAGGAAAAAATATGCACTGGTTGGTGGCAGGGGTGAAAGAAAAGAAATAGAAGGGTAGCTATACTTACCCTACAACCACAATTATAAAATCTAGTAAATTCCAACCATTGCGGAGGTAAGCATTAGGGTGAAAGAGAAGTCCATAAGCTATTACTTTTAAAAATGCTTCCACAGTAAAAATGATGAGAAAGAGATATTCCACTCGTTCCTAGGGGAAAAAAAAAATAGAAGAGAGAGAAAAAGAAAATCATTAGATTGGGGATTAATAAAGCTCTGCCCCAGCAGACCTCATGAGGAGGTAGAGGAGAATGCTGCCCCGCCCCATGGGAGGAGTTAAAGAAACACCAGGTGGAACCACCCCCCCAACCCCCGCCGCCCCCCGCCCCCTGCTGCCCAGGGCAAATGATGAAGTCAACAGTTTGTTCCACTATTAGAACTCCAATCCGCTGGGTGTTAAGCTATTTTTTTTAAGTCTTCAAATGTCCTGTTTAAGTGCAAATATTAGGGTGGTCAAAAAATTACAAATGTTTTGGAAACATCTTATTTAGTTAATCAGTGAACACGTCATTGTACCTTCTTAGACAAGAACCCATAATGTCTTGATTTAATGGGAAGCAATGCCTGGACAGAGGAGAAGGGTGCTGAGAGATGGGGTGGGACATGACCGCAGAAAAAGTGTGCCACAACTTCAAGATAACAACCCCTGAAAATAACAAGACAGTCCTGGGGAGCAGACTATCTGAGTTCTCCAAAACAGAGCAAAAACACAGCTGCAAAGCAACAGAGCCATTGAAGATCTCTCAACAGCAGCTAAAATAGGCAAAACTGCTTACACCCACGGATGCAAAAAGTTGAACTCCCTCTCTTTCCCAAGAAACTCTGTGTCCAAAGACAGAGAAGTGGTTAGCAGTGAAAACTAGCATTTCCAGGATGGAGACAGGCACTGGGAGGGGGGTGCGGACAGTGAATGGAAAAGGCTCATCTCTTTTTTCAAGGGGCAGAGATAGGTAGTCTTTTCCTCTCTCTACCACCTTGAAGAACAGCTTTGCATTTAAGGCTGCAGCTTCTGACCCTGGGAGCCCTCACTGAACAGGACAAACTCACTGGCTCCATTAGAGTGAACAAACTCTGTGTTAATTCAACCAGCTTCCTGCACCGCTATTTGCTTTCTCCCACAACCACCCTCAGTGTGGATACTTACTGGCCCCCACCAGGCCAAGGCTGCTGCCTGGAGGCCTTTATGTTCCACTGCTCGCCTCTGCAGAAGCCTCAGCCCATCTCTCACTGGAGCCACAAAACACCAGTCCATGTGGCATTTGGCCATAGGTCTTCTAAGCAGGTCGTCCACAACCTCCAGGAAGCACATGACTCAGAACCCCCAAACCTATTCTCCCACCCTCTAGCAGGCCAGGTGGGGCTCACTGAAGACCTCCAGTTCACCCACATTGTGAAGTGTGAGCATCGCCTGGGGAGGCCTTCCTCCTTCCACCTAGCCTGCTGGAGTGTCCTCCAAGACTGGGCATTGGGAGACTGATAGGTGTTTCTGCATGTCTCTGTGTTCCCTTCATTCTTTCTGGATCCCCTAGACATTTGGTGAATACTGGTCTCACCACCCCCCCCCCCCCGGTGAAGCAGTTTAAGGATGCAAAGTTTAAAAAATGCAGATTCTGGGCCCCAACCAGACCTACTGAAGTAGATCTCCTGGCTATGGAGCCTGACAATGTGCATTATAGACAATTTCCAGATGTCTCTGAGGCTTAAGAACCTCTGGCCCATGTGCTGATGTAGGCCCAGATCAGACAGCAACCTGGAAAGGGAACAGAGAGGTCGGACTGAATCAGCATTTCAGAAGCAGGCTGTCCCATCCTTTAGTTTCTACCTACTAGAACACCATAAAGTTGATCTGGGGACACGGCTGCCTGTGGGCTATGACCCAGGTACAAATCACAGTGTGTGGGAGTCTCCAGTCTTTTAAAATTAGGTGATGTATTAAAATGAACATCAGGATAGTGTTGAAGGGAAAGCACGTTAAGAAAGGGCACAGTGCCACCTGAGGAAGCTTGTGGAAGATGGGGGAGCTGTCAAAGAGCCCCAGTCCCCACCCCTATGGTGGTCACAGCTTTTATGTTTAGCACCAGATGACAAGACTACCTCCTCTGGACCCTGGAAACCTCCATAGAAATTCACAAAGTTGAAGCTGGAATGAGAAGGGAAGAAAAGGAAAGGGAAACAAACACGAGCTGGGTGCCTACTAGGTGCCAGGCACTTGCATGTGTTCACATATATGTGCTAGTTACTTTTACACATCCACCTACCCATCCAATCATTCATTTTCACTGTGGCACAACCAGTTGAATTATTTGAAAGTGACTTTGGAGCTCTGCCTGGTGTGTCTAGGCAACAAGCTTTCTGAGAGAGCACCCAAGCTTAGGGCACCTCTTCTCCAGGGTAGAGAGAACAGTAAAATCGCAAAGGCTCTGAGGGCCCTATGTGCTGGGAAGCAAGCATTCCCAGACAAACTCCTGTGAACAGCTTGCACCCCCAATCCAGACTGCCCAGCACCAAGTATTCTGTTTATTCCCCCATCTACAAGGCTGCTCTGTCTTGCTTGACTTCCCTATAAACAGGGAAAGCCATTGGGGAGGAGGGCCCTGGTCCCCTGGGCTGCAATGCTGCCCCATGCCTCACGCCCAGTGGCTTCCTGGACCTAGCACACCCCCTTGTGAGGTCAGGGGGCTTAGGGGACTTGCAACTTTTCTTGTGATCTTTGGTCTTTTTGGCTCTCCCAGTGAAATCTGCACTATGTGATATTTGTCCCATACCCTGGCACATAACACGTGGAGGTCCAGAAGGACCCATCTGATATGACAGTGAGTCACTCAAACATTCACAAACACGTTTATGTGCTGGGTGCTGAAGATTTGAGAAAAAGAGCTCTGAAACTGACCCTTGGTAAGTTGGTACAAGGGATCTTTTGGTACAGTAAGAGACAAAGGAACAGATGATTCCAGTACAATAAGTAAGTGATGCTCTGGAGGTAAGCACAGTTTGCTGTGGATGGACTTCCCAAAGGTCAGGATCTCCAAGGTGAAGCTTGAAGGTGAAGAGTTGTACAGGTGAAGAACGTGGGATGGGGTCAGGTATTCCAAGTGCAGAAAGAACTAAGGGTAGGGGAAGTATGGAGAGTTTCAGGAAATGCAAACATTTGATTTGGCTGGAGTGAAGGCTGTGAGAAGATGGGGACGGAGGGGTGGGTAGGAGCAAGATGACCAGGCTGTGTGGCCACACCTAGACACTTGGACTCCATTCTGAGGAGACAGGGAATGGCTGGGTTAGATGAGCACTGCAGCATGGCTTTGCAGTAGAGCATGGTAGCAGTGACAGGTGTGGAGAGGGTGGGCAAGTGACCCAAGCAGAGATCACAGACTCTCGAGTCGCAGTAGAGACAGTGGGACTGGTTGAGAAGTAGGTGATTTGAGAGATACTTTATAAAAGATATAATTTGGTTTCTGGTTGCATGTAGGGATTGGAGGAAGAGACAGTGAAAGAAGAACATGGTCCCCTCCCTGAGTTTTCTAATTTGGTGGCTCTGAATGGTAATGCCTGTCACTGCAGTAGTGGACTTGAAAGAGGAAGGGAGAGAGACACCATTTCTGGACTTGCCTAATTTAGGGCACCTGTGAGACATCAAGACACACAGAGGTGTGGGTTGGAGGAGAGTTCACCTTGAGGGACGGCTGAATGAGGTGGCTCTGGACAGTGTTCAGACTAAAGAGAGAAAGGTTGAGACTGGAATCCAACTGTGTAAGGGACAACCTCATCCCTAGGAAAGCACTTCCACATCACGACATTCATCTCCTAGGCAGAGGTTACAGGATCCTGCTTCAAGCCATGAGTCTGAGAGAGGAAAGGATCTTGGAAGTTATATAATTAACCTCCTCACTTGAAAAACTAGGATACTGACAAGACACCAAGGGCAGGGAGGCACATGCTGAGAACAGAACCAGGTTTTCTGACCCTCATCCAAAAGACCAGGCATCTTATCTGACCTCCCTGGTCCATGTTTGTCCCCAAAGACACAACTGAGTCACACTCCTTTTGCTAAGGATCTGAGATAGAACTGAAAAGCAGCCAGAGAGTCAGTAAGAAAAGGGCTGGACAAGAACCCAGCGGAAGGGCAGTGCCTGAGGTTACAAAGTCTGGATACAGACACCTGTGCTGATTGCCACTACAGAAAGCATTGTGTTCACTCTGACCTTAGGGGCATGAATGCCCTTACAGAATTAATTTTTAAAAAAAGTGAAAACAAACAAAAAAATTTAAATAAATGAAACAGCTTAGTTAATCCTTTCAAAATATGTGTTGTAATTGCTACAGAAACATGTAAGGGTGAATATGAATGGAGTAAAGAAGAGCAACACTTTGTCACAGATCATTCTCTCACAGCTGGCGTCTCAGTGACCCCAGTCCTGTGCGTACACACTCCTTTATGGCTTTCCTCCTGAGGCCAGAGCTCTGTGGGCCCTCCTGAATCCTGAGGGGTGGCAGAGCTCTTAGAGACTGCACCCAATAGTCAGCACAGGCACTGGTCTTTTCTGTGCTCTTGGGAACAAGGGAGCTTTGGAGGCCCAGGGAACAGACTACTATTCTGTGTTGAGGTTGGAAAGGGTAGAGGAGACAGAAAAACTGCAGAAGGGAGAACAAACCAAGCACTAGACTCTCAAGGCTGTGAATGTCAGGACCGGGTTCCACAGGGCTCCTGGAGGAACCCTTCCTTGGGGCAGTGTGAGGACTTCACCCCGTCAGATGGCTCCTGTCTTTCTTCTTCCTTTCTATCACTTCTCGTCCTCTCTAGTGCTATTTTCCTCCTATTGCTACCTTTCCATTTCCTTATTCTTCTCCCTTTCTTTCCTCTCTCCCTGCTCACTTCTTAGGGCTACCATCGGCAACCGAAGCCCACGGTCACATTCCTTTCTGAAATATTTAGGAAAATTAATGGAAAGAGAGCCTCAGTTCCCAGGAATCATGGCATTTTCTAAACACTTGTGGACTAAACACTCAGTTCCCAGGAATCATCATGTCTTCTAAACACTTGTGGAGCTAGTTTGACTCTGATGAACACAGACTACCTTGGTTTTCCTTTTATCATTTTATGCATTCATATCCAGCCTTTCAAGTACATCATAAACTTCTAGAAGACAGAGACTC